AGCTACTAGTTATAATTAGTAAAGCTAATACTAACTAGAAAGCCTTAGTAATAAAGAATACTCTTAATAATATCTTTAGAAACTTTAAGAATAGCTTTAATTACTAGTTCTAGACGCTTTAAGCTAACTATAATACTATTACTACTAAATATTCTACTCTCTAAATATAGCTACACATAGTAAAGTAGCATACATATATTATAGAAGCTATAGCTACTACTCTTTAAGCCTTTCTACCTACTAATTTCTATAACCTCTATTAATAGAATTATAATAACCTACTAAAATTTAATAGTAAGAGTAATCTAAGTACTAGGTAATAGAAATATAAGAATTAGAAGATAGAAGTTTATTTAGTCTTAGCTATAGATAGCGCCTTCTTTAATATAGACCTATCTTATCTTCTATACGTTATAAACCTTCTTACTAGTAATACTATAGAACGCTACTACTATAACCTTAATATAATTCTAGATAATCTAGATAACTAAAACGTATAGCTTTATACTATAGTCTTAAACCTATTTATAAATATAGACTAAGTCTATATTAGTACTAATAAAATGCTAGAGACTAATACTAAATTTAACAACCTAGTTATAGGTATACGCCTCTTTTCTAACTTCTTATCTAACTTTAAGAAATAGTCTACCTACGCTAAGAAGATAGCTATAGAGAAGATTACTACTCTTTACTATAAAGTATCTATAAAGCTTAGTAGTATAGTTACTAACTAGATTAAGCTCTCTAGACCTACTAACTTTAATAAATAGGTTAAGTTACTAAATAACTATTATAGCGCGAATAAGAAATAAGAATTTAAGATATATAATAAGTTGTATAATATTAAGCTATAAAGACGTAAAGGCGTAGAGAAGATATCTACTACGCTAAGGCGCTAAAATAGCTAAGGTTACGTAGCTGCGTAGATAGGTTAGTGCTATAATAGTACTCTTTTTCTAAATAACTATACGTCTTAGATAGCTTATAAAATAATAAAAAATTTAGACTAACTAGCGTCTATAGCCTTTTTATCTATTATAGTAGGCCTAGCTTACCTAGATACTAGATATAGAACCTTAGTAACGTATTATTCTAACTCTTTAGATCTAACGCTAGTTGCTATATTATAGTATAGTTCTTCTACTTAATAAGGTACTATAGTTCTAGTTACTTATTATAGTAGTCTAATATTATATTAAACTTCTACTTCTTAGTAAGTTCTTCTATTCTATTCTCTCTTTTAAAAACTCTTCTATAGAGATAGCGTAACTCTACTTTATTAATTACCTATTAACCTAAAAGGCTCGCGAAAGCGTGCTAGAGAGAGAGTAGTAAGTTATAGAATACTAGAAAAATTTGTATACGTAGTAGAAGTTCTAGTATATATAATTAGTTATAGACCTTTAGTACCTTATATAGTTCTATAAGCTTATTATCTCTCTTTTTTATAGGTCTATTTATCTTTATATTATACGTATTAATATAGACAAGGTTTTCTATTATAAATTATAGTACGTTTTTACGTCTCTTATTTATATAGCGTTTATACTAAGTAATAGACTAGATAGCTAGTACTTTTAGCTATATTATTAGCTCTAAAAAACTTACGTTTTTATATAGCTAATAGGTTTAGTAGTACTAGTTACGCTAGCTTAACTTCTAATCTTAGATAGAAACTATAGTTCACAAAAAATAGAGATACCTCTATAGTCTTAGATATAATATTATTTATTA